ATATATATATATATATATATATATATATATATATATATATATACATGTACAAATATATAAGTATATATACGTACTCTAAAAATCGTATATGATATCGACAGCACGAATCGGATGCCGCTATCGGTACCAACGGGGCACACGGTTAAACTTCATCCACGCCTTCGCGAAGAAAAAAAAAGATAAACAATGTGATGAGCGCGGCACCGCGCCTGGATATCCCAACGACGAACATCCGGAACGAGCAAAATGTTTCCGCGTTCTTGCTTGGTCCGAGAATTAATCTTTTGTGTTTTGCGCGTGTCCTCCCTCGAAAAGCCGTATAGTACGCGCGCGATACCGCGACGAAGAGTCGATATCGATCTCGGCCTCCCTCGGGGAGGTTTGTCTTTCGGGTGAATCGCACCGATGACGACGCGCGCGTGAAAGAAAGGATAGAGGCGAGGATTAAAAAGACCGCCGGTCGGAAAAAGTGCTCGCCGGTCTCGTAATATCCAAGTATTAGGTAGTACAATTCACGCCATTAACGCAGCTTTTTATACATTCCTATTAATATCTCTACCTTGTACGTAGTGCTCCCGGCGGTACATCGCGTGGGATACGGTAAGATCACCGGAGGACGCGCGTCAGTCGTCGGCATACAAGAGTTACGGTCGGAGAATGCAAAAACCGACCGCCGTCACATCGCGCCGTGTCGGTTGTCGCCTCTGCTTTTGCGACATCTCCTCTCGCGAAAGACAAGAGATCGAATCGAGCGGGCGTCGCGCGTTGGCACTGTTTTCTCGATCGCGCGAATTTGCCGCGAACACGCGGATTTCTCCCGGCCCTTTTTTGTCGCCGGATTTCCGCGAGAACGAAAAGGTGAACGCGCGATCATCGATTACGAGGAGCACGCGCTTCTACGTACCTGCTCCGGTCTCCTTCTCGTCTCTCCTCTATGTATCATATCGTTAAATGTCGACACATCGATAGAACATGCTCCCTACCAATACTACTGACTAAACATAGCTGCTACATGAGAGTACATCGAATGCGTTGAATACTTAGGTAGTGCCTCGCGAAGAAGGGAAACGCCGTCGAAGCGCCCACGGCTGGATCTCCCCGGACAATCTTGATCCGGTTAATCTTGTAATAATAATGAGCTAAATACCGTTGTAAACCGTGATAAATACAAAGTGTGCGTATATAGCTACCGAGGTGATCCGTGGTGTATCGTTTTGGCAGTTTTTGTCGGTTCATCCTCCCCTCTCTCGGATGGCTCTCTCGATCGTCCTTAAGCTCCGCTTGATCTTCCGTCCGCGTAAGAGTGTGTGCGTACGCGTGTTAATCTGTGGTCATGCATATATGCACGCGTACGCATATTTACATACTTGTATTGATGCTTCTCTTTGGTTTTTCAGACGAGGGAAAGAAACGTACAAAGAGGGCGTGTATCGCTAAGTCTATGCAGTTTCCTTTCGCTGTAGCTTCTCTTCGTTATATCCGTCGTCGATCGCACGAGATAAATTACAGATACAGTCAAGCAGGTTTTATCACGGAGGATATAACCGACCCAGGTTCTTAGGCCCGCACGTCCTACAGAGAATGTAACAATGTTCCCGTCAACAGTCGGCTCGCCAGCGTCATGTCGGTACAACGCCATGACCTTCGGCTGGCACTTTGCGAAACGACGGGATTTAAATTACTGACATACCGTCCCACCCGCCGATTCCTTAAACCTCTCTCTGGATCGTGTGTATCTAGTTATACAAATGAGGAGGGAGAAAATTAGCCGACCGCGTTCTTCGCTAATTAGATTCGGTGCGCGAGCGACACTCCGAATCGGTGCGATCGATCGTGACAAGCTCGCGAGAATGTTTTTCCCGTGTTTCTCGTTTCTCAACGCGGGCAGCAGCAGTACTCGAATAAAACGGAACTCGATAGATGTGCGGCCTGGTCTGCCTAGGTTCGCGCGTGCCTCCCGAGTCGAGATTTTAATTCTACGTTAAGCCCATTTAGTTCTACATTGAGTCTTCCGAGGTCCTTTATTGCGTTCGTTTCACGCTACAAATAGGAAGTTACTTCCGTTTCCTCCACCCGGAGACTTAATATGGAATTTTTTTATTCCCTCCTCTTCCCCCGGAAGATCTACATTCTCTTTGTAGGGAGCACTAATAGCGCCATCCTTTGATGGCCCTCTTTATGCTGCAAATGGTGAGTTATTTCCTCCACTGGGAGATTTAATGTAAAACTAACGTGGACTTAACGTAGGGCCAAAATTTCGACTCGCACGGAGAAAACAAGTTTTGCTGGAGCAGCGAATTGTTGGTTAACACGACAACAACGGAAACATTTCTTACACGGAAGAAATAATTTTGCTGTCGCAGCAGCGGAAAACATCGTTGCGACAGCGATAAAATTTAGTCGGCCTAACCAAATTATTTCGCTGTCGCATATATCCAACAAATATCAATTAATACCCTTGACAAATCCTTCTGCTGGTCGAAACCAATTTTTTCGCTCTCGCTATATTAACGAACAATTTGCCGTTGTAGCAAAATTTTTTTCTCCATGCGGGTCCGCCGAGTAAATAGATTATCAGGATCCCCCTCTTTCCTCGAGAGAGAGAGAGAGAGAGAGAGAGAGAGAGAGAGAGACAGACAGAGAGAGAGAGAGAGAGAGAGAGAATGAGAGAAAGAGGGAGAAAGAAAGATCCACCTGCTCTTTTCTCCTTCTCTATATATAATATACATTATATAAAAAACGCGAAATACAAAACGAGATAAAGTCCCTCAGTCTTGAAGAATTAAAACATCGAAGTAACGTCGCGGCAACGCGAAATCGGAACTTGAGGGGGGGAGGGGGGAGGGGATCGGGAAAGACGCGGGGAGAGACGTACAACGAGTTCGTTGGTCGCCGATATCGTTTGCGAGGGATCGATATTGAGCATCTCTTGTGTGCGCTTATCAGCGCGTCGCGCCTTCTCCTCTTCTCGCGCTTCTTCCTCGGCCTCCGTGGTCCGCAGGTGAAAATATCAACGCGCGTGTACCGCGCGCGTAACGTTCTCGCGAGAAATAAAAAGGACGACGAACGAACGGACGCGCGAGAACCGACCGGCCGGATCGCAGCTGCGCGTTTGAGAATCGGACGAATGCGGCGAATTATTACGGCGGTTTCGCGGCGAGCGTTCCGCGTCTCGTGCGCTCGCTCCCGGTTGCTATTAAAATGACGCGGTAATACTGCTTATACATTGACGAGGCGCCGTGAGGAAGAAAGAGACCTAAACGTGTCGTCTCGTCATTCGTCGAAAGCGTGTACGATCGATTAGTTGCCTCGATACATATCACCCTGGCCGGAGTCACGCACTTTGAGCGTAGCGTGGCTCGTATATGCGGATCCGTAGTGCCGACACGTCGCGAAATCTGTCGACTGTCAACTCGAAGATCGAGGGCACGGAGGGCCCTTCGACGAGAGACGCTACTTACCTTCGTCGTCGTCGTCGTCCTCGACGGTCCTGTACGCGAGGTCATTCGTTAAATCACTCGTAACAGCTGAGTCACGAGTATCTCTCGGCTTTCGCGAAGACGAATATGCGTGCGCGTACGCTCTATGCTAATTTTACGCACCGGTAATGTGATCGATCGAATTCAGACGGATAAAAGTGGATAAAAAGATTTTTCATTTCTCCTCACGCGTCAAGGAACCGTGCTATTAGCAATTTCTGGTCGTTTCTTTTTGACTTCTCCTTTCTTTACTCCACCGCATTGGTCAGCCGAGAAACTATCCTCCATGTATCCGTGAGACCGGTGTCGGTCTCAGAAATCGCGCGAATTCCGTGAGTAACGGGGAACCGGTCGGCTTCTGCGAGATCTCGAAGAGCCGACGAGTCACAAAATTTCGTCTCGAGCGGGTCGCGGAAGCAGCATCGCGTCCCCTGTCAGAACGGAACGCTGGGCGATTATGCGTCGCAATTTCATGCATTTCAAGCGGCTTACAGCTCCTCGGACAGGGCGATCGGGGCCCTGGAACCGGGCTTCATGTCCTTCACCCCGATACCGATGTCGTCCACCGGCGCCGGTGCTAACTTCAATTGATTACCGTTTACCTTGATGTCGTTGACGGAATGAGAACGGCCGTGGGTGACCAAGGGCTTAGTGGTCTGATTAGTGGTGCTGTTCGAGTTGGAGCTGATGATCGAGTTCGTGCCGGGGCTCGAGGCGGCATTCGAGCTCGGATTGCAGTTCCCGGTGGTCGCCGAGCTGGAACTGGAGTTACCGTCCTGCCCCGGATTAACGGAATGGAGATTCGGATTGGGTATGGACTTCGATCGCGATTTCGCCTTGGGATTCGCGCACGAATTGAGAGTCTGGATATGATCCGTGTCCCGGGTGGGATCGGACGCGGAATCGGGAGACACGGGAGGCATCTTGCCGGGCGCCGTCGATTTCGACGAGCCGGTGAGCGTTGTTAGTTGATTCGCGGACTGAGAGCGAATCGCGTGGCCGCCGAGCTTGTCCCTCAATGCCATCTGATATGCCACCTCGAAGGCTTGGCCCAAAGTCAGGATGACCTCCGTCGCTTGATCCTGTAACGTAGGTAAATGACGGGCGCACGGCTGAGGCGTCTCGATTAGAAACTGCTAAGAAGCGTGGAGAACGCGCAGAGCCACCCCGCAGAGGCACGCTCGAGCGACTTCTCCGCGAAATTCATATTTACCATCGTTGGCACGCAAAACACGTGGCAAAAGTGCGTGCGACTGGCGTGATCCTTCGTGATGTACGCGAAGTGAGTGAGATCGTCGGCGTCTTGGCAGGCGCAATGGATGTTGCGGATTTCGTGCTCGCAAATCGGCTCCTGTCAGGTGCATCGGATGTGAAAGGAGAACAAGCGATTAAAAGCGTGTCTCTCTCTGCGCTCTCGTTTCTTTAACGTGAGCGCATTTTCCGCGGGAGAAAGAAAGGAGGCTTACGTTAGTCAGCGCGTTGAGAAAACGAACGCCACGATAAGAGATCGCCAGGGTAATGTCAGGGGTGACTCTGGGCTCTCGAAAGGTCTTCTTCAGCTTCTGTATCGACTTTTTCGTCGACTCGGTGCCGCGTAATTCCTTCACGACGGTGGAGCCCAGATACTGTATTATTTAGAAACAGAAAGAGTTTTTTTCTCTTCGGGAAGAAAAACCGAGATAAAACACCGGCGTGGGTCGACATAGACGAGGACGGGAGATTCGACCGGAATTGCGCGAGATTATCGGTCGCGGGAAGGAGATCGAGAGACACGCGAGCTATGTTATTTCGTTAAACCACTCGGAACGTAGTGGAACTCCTTTACAGATCGGAATATTCCGAGAAATTAACGGGTCAATAGAGACAGGGCAATCTGCCGCACGAAGCCTATTACCGTAAACCGTGAATTAAGTGTTATCGCGGCGTTGACCTTGAGGACCCCGATTTAACGAGCGTCATAATTTTCCCCGTCGTACATAATTAACGGAGTAGCGCGAGAGATGGGTAAAATTATCCTGCAAACTTACACGTTCGTCGAAATGCCAGCCTCTCTGATCTTTCAGCGACGTGATCAAGACATCTCTCGAGCGAGGCATCTCGCGACCCTTACGTATGACCAGTCACAAGAAGGTTGCAACACCTTTTTTTTTATCAGTTTAAAAACGCACCCCGTGTCTAATAAGAGAATTTATTTTTTTACTCATTCTCAGAAGACACATTTTTCTATCAAATACGAGGTGCGTTGCGAAGCTCATCGAAAAAAAAGCGTAACGACTCGAGTCGAAATTTTCAATTCTACATATTACGTTTTCAACGAGAGGAAACGAAAGTAAGTTCCTATTTGTAGCAATAAATGCCCCTTTAATACCACAAATGGGAGTTGAGATTTCCAGTGCCTAAATTTCAGTGCTATTGTCTACCAGTGAAGGAAACGACAATAATTTCCCCATTTATAGCGTCAAAGAAGTAAAATAAAAAAATCTTTGGAGATCTAATGTAGAACTAAATTAGATTTAAAGAAGGACTAAGGTTTCGACTCAGGAATCTTTTCGTGACTGCCCACACTTCATCGCGCATCGAGAGAGTTGCATCGAACAAATGAAACAGGGTTACTCATTTAATCCTCTAACGATAAGGGTGAGGCCGGATGTACGCGCCACTTCTCTTCTTAGGGAACATTTCATGTTATTTGCTCCTTTTAGTTATTTTCTGCATTGATTACACAACAAATGAATAAAACAGCATGGGGTCGGATCTGACCTCACTTTCCCGGACACGTTGAAAATCCACCTTGCCGTTAGAGAGTTAATTAATAATAATCGCGGAAAAGAAAGGCTCGAAATACCGGAATACGATACACGACGCGTTATCGAGCTCGATCGCGGCCCTGCTGGCGCTCCCGTCGAGCCGTGGGCGACGCTTCGAGAAAATAGAAAGCGGCGGGGAGGTTCGTCGAAGATGCAGGGCGATAGGTAGACTTAGCCGGGAAGTGGCGGAGGGCACACTTACGTTGGCGACGTACGTGACGCAGCCGGTGACTAGAGTCTTCGGTTGATGCCTCCATTGCGTTTTGAGGGTGGATGGCACCCCGAACAGCAGCTCGGACGGAGCCCTGATCTCGAGCTGCTCCGGCGCCGAGATCGCCCCATTATGCGAACTAGGTCGCTGGGGTGGCTGGGGCGCCGGTCTGTTTTTGCGGTGCCTTAATGTGCCCGTGGCCGTCGAATTCGTTCCGGTTATCGACGTGCCTCCGTTACCGTCCGCCGTTGCTTCCGGCAATTTCTCCTGTATCTCCTCCTTCAGCTGCTGTATGTTCGTCTTCTACGGAAATAACGGCGCGACTAGATTTTAGAGCGGGCCGCCCCCTCCCGCCCGGAGCCGACGACCCGAACTGGCAATCCCGAATTCATAGTCGGAAAATAACTCCGCGGTTTGGGTCGCTCGCTCGCCGAATTCGACGTAATCCCTTCGTGCTTTTTAAGCGTGGATAACAGCGCAAATAACGTAGAAATCGCACGGTAAGTGACGATAAATGTCCTTCTGTCTTTGTTTTTTTCTATTTCGAAGTGCAGGAAAACGTATGGAAAACTCTTGGAAAATTTTTTTATTATTGCGCAGGATATTTAGATTGTTCGCAAAATTTATCCTCCGCTCTCTGTGCAAACGTTTCGCCAAAAGAGTTGTGTACCAAAGCGAAGTTGCGTTTTTTCGCACTCTGTCTTCGTCGCGCTTTCCTCCCTCTCTCTCTCTCTCTCTCTCTCTCTCGTTCTTTCTCTCTATCTATCTATCTATCTCTTGCAGATAAATTCGAATTTCCGTGCAATTCTGCACAGAAACTGCTATATCTGCCCCGAGGTTGCAATTTCTCTGACAGATATTTTTTCATAGCTTTATCGTGACAAGAATCGGTCGTGCCAACCGGCTTTAACAAAACACTCGGACATACGCGATGTAAAAAAAAAAAAAAGAGAAGAAAAAAAAATATTGCACTACGCGAACTTTTATACGACATATTACCAAGTCGAATTCGTCCCGGAGTTTACTTTGTGCGGCGTGCAATTACCTTCGTAAACGCATTGCGTTGTAAACCGCGCATCCACATGCGTCCGCACACTACACCAAAAAGAAACCTTTTACCGGCTATGCCAAAACGCGCATCATGTAGCGTCGATAGTCACGATATTTCAGGTATTGCAAACAAATTGGATTCGAGCCGGACGGGCGCGACACTCGAATTCGGATTACAACCCGAATCGTTCGCTCCATCTGGCTTCTGCATATAATTCCGGGTATCACCATCGACAAAATTGCAGAAGACTCGTACGAAAGGGAGGTGAAATGGAAGCGCGAGAGGAACAGAGAGATAGAGTTGAAAAGAGAAAGAGAGAGAGAGAGAGGAGGAGAAATAGAGAGGGTCAGAGAGACAGGGAGGCAAAAGCACGTAAAATTCGGGTGTTGGCGCGTATAGGCTACAACGAAAATCCGCGGGCGTTACTATGAGCGAGAGTGTGCCGGCGTCAAACTACGGTTCGTCGGGTCCGATAGCTGCGAAAAATCAAGGGGGAGGGAGAGGCCGTTATAGGAAGGCAGAAGAGACCAATTTGTCAGGATTATCGAGCGCGAGGATGACGCGAACCGGCTGAATCCGCTCGCCGGAGACGTTTACGGGATTTAATGAGCTAATTAAGAGGACACGGCCGGTGGGACGAAGAGCGAGCAGCGCGAGATGTACTTATCGACGCCTGACACGGTGAGAGGCATCCGAACAAAAAGCATCGAGAGGCGCTCGAGCGATCTCGCCGAGAGAACACATGTACGCGCGCCCGGATCACAATGCCGAGCCTCCAATTAGCCACGATATTTAGATTACGACGCGATCGGGCGAAACGCGCGTAGGATGCGATCGAGCTTGCCACAGCGTGTCGTCCGACCCCGACTAACGTCGCTGGTGCGAGTTACCCTCGCCAGCAAAGTGCGCCAGCCCTCGTCAGACATCCCCATTGAACGTATTATTCTCGTTCGTCGGTCCTTTCGACATCTCAATTCGCGAGGCGTCGAATCTCGTGCGGCGTAACTGATCAAAATGCGAATCAATTCAATTTCACTCTCGCGTTTGTTCCCATTCCGATCCTACAGAGTCCCTGAATTAGCAGGGATCGAATTGGTAATTTTTATCCTCAAACTGCCAACTTTCGTCGTCAAATTGTTTGGTGACTTTTATTATAAAGCGCTGAACATTAGGAAAGTAATGGTTATACGTTCATGTCACGTTCGCGTTTGGGAATATTTATGTAAGAAAAAACGCGAAGAATTAGTATGTTCGAGAGATCGCTTCGAGTGCACGCTTGCACGGAAAAAGAATTCTCTGTTTCTATAACTGAACAGAAATCGGACGAAAATTCAGATGCGGAAAATAATAATCTCTGTTATCGCAATCGGATGCGATCGTCTGAATATTCGGCTGCTTGAAGAGGATGCCAACGCCGATGACGAATTCGATAAGCGTCGATAACATAGAAGCGATTCTCAAAATGTTATGTTACATAGACGTTAACACGATCACGCTACTTTTTTGTATTTCTCGCACATATAAGTGCGACATAAATATAAATACGATGAATGTATGCTACTCTACTTCACCATATCTAACGGAAAGTCTAGCCAAGATATATAACAATTTTTTCTGCAAGCTCTTCCTCTCTTTTCAAACTTCTAAATTTCACTGAAACGGTATAAAAGTGTCCTTTAGTATTTTTCTGATTTGAACACTTATTGATTGATTCGGTATAAATTGCGGGATTTCTGTAAGGCAAATATTCAGGTAAATATTTACGTTAACTGGTAGCTGGAGATGTTTGTATTAAGAAATATTAAATCATTTTTACCACACACTAAGCAATGCCCCGATTCATTTTCACGCATCCTTTCACATCGTGAAAGGCATTTGCAATCCCGTGCAATTAACAAAACGTAAACTTTGCAGGGAAAAAAATCAGTATTCTACCGACAAAGTTCTCAAGCATGGCGTCCCCTCGAAACTCGGCTGAAATAACTGAGATAACTACGAACAATTGATTAAATAGAAATCTCCAGCAGGAATCTTTCCGTCCCCGCGACCGAGTTAGCGTCTGGTCGCGGATGGCGGAAAATCCGTTACACAAACCGAATTTCTTCTTCCGTCTGTGAGATTGCAGAAACACGACGGGGCGAGTTCTCCGGTCTCGCGTGGCAACAGCCGCGAAAAGCGGGTCGATCTCAGACTTACCAGTGTGTTAAGATCCTTATTCAAGTCCTCCAAGTTCGGCCCGGCCCCGTTTCGAGTTTGGGCGCGCACATTCGGCCCGCTGACGGACGCGAGGATACGCTTGCGATGCGCCGGCTTCTGGATCTCCAGTACTGCCGCCAGCTCGACCTCCCACACCCGTTTCACCCGATCCATGTCGGTGTACAGATGCTTCCTGAACGTCTCCGCGTAATTTTCCAAGTGAATGCTCTTCAGCCACTCCTCCACCGATTGCCCGTGACCGCCGCCACGCTTTTCCACTCGTTTGTTCAGCAAGCCGACCGCGTCCGCGATCACCGTCCGTTCCTGATCGCTGGTAATGCCCATGTCACGCAGATCCGACTCGTCCAACACGCCGTTCTGCAAGCGTCCAATTAATACGTTTTTCCTCGTGCGTGCCGATCACGGTGTGCTCTGTGCGCCTACTCACTATGAACTCGAGATCGTCGAAGCCGTAGTTGATAAAGAGCGACTCGTAATCCGCCAGGCCTAAGCTGGACAGCCACTGGCCCACGGACGTGGAGACGATCGGGCTGCTGCTAGTGTCTGAACTCAAACCTGAGACGTAGAAAATGGAATAGATATTTTCCTCCGGCCCGTCGGTGCGTGCTCCGGGAAGGAGAGATCAAAGTGGAAAGCTCGAGGGCGAGAAATTACGGTGGTTGGTACGCGACCGGGGAAAACGGCAACGCTCAATCTTGCCGCGCGAATCAGGAGTCCGCGAGTGCGTCGATCCGACGATCGGGGAAGCGGGGATAGATCAGGAAATCGCGCGGGATCGATGGAAACGGATAAGACCGGTGTTTCGCGGCGATTAGAGATTACCTAGCCTCGTTTGGAATTCTTTCTCGAGCTCACTGACGAAGACCGACTCTCGCACGAGGCCAGTTCCGAATGACGCCATGATCTCCGAGATCTTCGCCCATTCCTCCTGCTCGTCGAAGGGACTCATTATGCTGAGGGACTTCTCGTCCCTGTCGCGATCCCGGTCGGCAAGCCGAAAGGCGACCTCGCCGTCCTCGAGACGATCTCCACCCCCGCCGTCGCCGCCGCCGGTCCCCATCCCGCATGCGGTCTGACCGTAGACGTTCCGCAAGCGGCGCAAAGTACGCGGCCGTTCAGCCGTGACGGAACCCTTTAACAAACCTATTGGCACGCCGACAGATTACTATCACGCAACCGCTCTCCTTTCCCACGATCTGATACGATATCGCTCGTTCGCATGTGCATCTTCATACAGTGCTCTTAGAGGTCTACGATCTTAATGTCTATTCAATGTCTGTGTTGCTTCGGATGTATGTGTGTCGGATAAAATGAAAGAGTACATTTGCCAGAGTCGTTGCAATATCCTAACCGGCACCGGGAGATTTCACGCTCACGTTATTACGCAATTGTGTTTTCTTTCGTATGTTTTTACAAGTCTCGCACAAGCGAACGACGAATTTGATCGACTCGCGCGATTCTTGCGAAAATCTTCGAGTCGAATTGGCATACTTCAAAGTTTGCGCTGACTAGTGACTAGCTCTCGCTCGCTCTCCCTCCATCCCGCAATTTCGACAGCTCTCAAGCGCAGACATATCGACTACCTGGCGGTTTCCTCATAATGCATATGCAGCAAACCGGCGGATTTACAGATGCGTTGAATATTCATTGCAGATTCGTCATTGTTCGATGCCCCCCAATGGGAATTAGCCCCCGGAAGGCAATCAAGACTGTCTCGTGACACCGCGATCGTTAAGCAATTACGCCGACGCTCTTAACGGCGGGCTTTGCGATTTTGAATTAGCGACCGGGTAACATCGAGTGTGCTCGTAAGACTACACCGTGTCCCTCGTGTAAGGAGACCTCCGATTCCCGAGTGAAAAGGCGTCGAGGAGGCAAAAAAGGAACTTCGCATATTTGTCTATACGTAGTTTCCGGTGTGTCGATCGCGGGAGGAGGAGGGGAATATTCGCAACCTCTCTCTCTCTCTCTCTCTCTTTCTTTCCCTTCAAAGTAAAAATATTCAACATACGATCCCGTAGCTCTCGTCGTAATTTCCCCCTCAGGTACTCAGACGCCGCATTCCTTCGCGTCGCGCAAGTGCAAGTAATTTCCCCGATTTCCTCCTTTTCTCTCGTTCTTTTATCTCGGCCCTTCGCTCATTTATCACGGCGCCACGGCATCCCGCGTAAAAGAGGCGCTTGTTAGAGGCTCTGCCTCGCGGGCCCTTCAAGGACGATTCGTTGTTCGCGACAATCGGCGTCCCACGAGAGTGCGATAGAAATTCCCTCGTACGAATTCCGCAAATGAGGATTCACCGGCGGCACGGTGAAGGAAAGAAAAAGGAGCAATTTAAGTGGAAGCCGCGGATGTTCTTTCAAAGACGCCGTGTATCCCTCCTCCTCTTCCGCCGCAGGGAGCGCAAACACGCGCGACCATAATGAAAAGCTCATAAAAATATTAAACAGAAGCGAAGAGGCGAGGGAAAGAGAGAGAGAGAGAGAGAGAGAGAGTAACGTGTGCGCGCGTTACGAGAGGCAAACGTACGTAATTTTAATTAAAGCTCCATCGCGGAGAGCGTCGCCTGCTTACCGCCGTTCTCCAGCCAGCCGCGTTATATTATGTAGGCAGTTATTCAAGTCACATACATAAATTACTACATAAATCCTCGTCTTCCCCGTCCGCCGTTGCACTTGCTCCGGCCTTTAGCCGACACCAGATAAAACTTAACCGTCCGACTTGGCGAAAAGCGGCGACCGAATCTCCCTCGAGGGAGGTTCGACACGTCGGCGAATTCAGTGCGGATCGTGCGATCGTTTTCACGTCACGAAGGCGGAAAGTTGCGGAAACTATAGTGATTTTTCAGCTAATTAAGCCGGACGGCCACCGTCGATCAAACTCAACTCTGCATTTCGCAACATTTTAATGCGCGTGAATCTCTCGGTATCTCCGTCGAGATCATTAATCTCGCCCCTCTATTAGAGAAGCGCGTAACTTCCGCTCATCTTGACTTCTCCTTCTCCGCCGCCGAGGTCCCCGTGCGGTCCATTAAAGCGAGAGGACGATTCCGCGGGCGATCCCGCGATCCTCGCGGGCCGTAAACGTTAAAGCAATCCTTGCGTAAATAAGTGCGTGTGCCGCGTGAGTTCCGGAACCCCGCGGAAGAAAGAGACCGGCCGGATTTCAGTGGATATTAAAAATGTACGACCGTTACAAGCGGCTCGTAAACGATGCGCCGTTACATTTTTCAAATCTGTCCCCCTACCGCCGCGCAAGTGGATCGGCCTCGCGGTGGAGTTATTAAAATCCGCAATAAACCCGTTCGGTCTTACGCCGCGAGCCGCCGGATGGTGGATTGTGAAAGCCGAAGATAAACATCGGACTGCCCGCGAGGAACAGTGTTTGCCGGGAGTCGCGAAGTGCCGCGAATCTACTTCAATTTCACGGAAATTTCCTGGGAATCGATCTTTCTCGCTCACCAAGCGCGAATGTCAACGGCGTGTCCTTCTATTGATAAGAAAACAAACTCTGCCAATAATATGTAAATTATTATGTACAATTACTGTTATATAAATTGATATATAGAGTATCCCAGGATACCGCACGCGGGATACACCGGGAGATTCTTGGTACCGAATGAAAACATTTTTCGTACAGGAGCCATTCAACAATTACGTCACATCGCAAAGAAGAAGGGGGTCTATTAGCTTGCGTGAGTAAAGGTCATAAAACGTCACATTAGATGACATAACTTCAAATGTGGATATGCGTGGTTATCCACACGTTTGCATTCGTGATTTATTTGATGACGTATTGCTTACATAATAATTAGAAAACCTGTTAATAAACATATTTTGGTATTATGGTTACAATTTAGTTACATATTTTGGTTACATTTGATGCAAATTTTCAAGTTTTGACATGGTTTTGTGTTAATAATCGAAATTTTAATTTTTAGGTATCTGTTCTTTAAAAACGCGACTTTTATTAGTCAAATTATATAATTATATAATTATATAATAAAGTAATTAATCCAATATCAATTATATCAATTATATAATAAAGTAATTAATTTGTTTATTATATGCCTGAAAATTATTTGTATTTTAGGAAAAGATAGTAGCGTGCAGTCTAATAATTATTATATAGCCATAATATAGTTATAAGCTATTTTTTTAATTCTATATATCGGCCGGAAAAAGAAAATAATTCCACATGCCATGTAATATCGGAAAGAAACAAATATTTGTGATGAAATTATAATGAGAGGGGGGGGAGGGGAATGCCAAAATTTAGCATATATTAACATAATTGTTGAATGGCCCCTTATCAAAATGTCGTTCAAATGATAGTTTTTAAATAAAAGCTATTTAAATTTATCGAATTAACTAGGTTGCGCGTGAGTCAAAAGCAGAACTACGAAATATCACGAAAGCCATGTAGACTGTTTTTTCTCCCTCACAAAAAATTTTATTATGCAACTATATGTATCTGGATTTACCGCAATTTTGAATAAAATTGATTAAATAATTCATTAAATAATGTGTATAAATTATATTCCATCGATTCTTTTCAAGGCCACAAATATTTTTTTTTAAATTGTTGGAACAATACTTTGTGAAAAAATTATTTGTGCGTCATTTAAGCATGTTACATTATTATTTATAGTCGTTCTTTTAGTGATATCGGTAAGAAATTCATTCATATCAAATAAATACTATCTGAATTTAGCGCTATTTTGAATGAAACTTATTTGATACAAAAGAGTATTTTAGCGATGCCATTGAAAGAACGATAAATAAACAAATAAAGTAATATGCTTAAACAACAAGTAATTTTTACACGAATTGTATTTCAACATTTTTTAAATATTTGTGGTCTTGAAAAAAAAACCAACAGAATATTATTTATGTAAATTATTTATGTAAATTATTTATACAAATAAATTATATTCAAAAAAATAAAGGTCAATTCAAATATTATGCTTAGCTGCGTAACAAAAAATGTTTAGAAAGATAAAAGAAAAACAGCCTACACGACTCACGTGATATTTTTTCGTTGTTTTACAAAGTGCGTGCCTTACGCGCAATCTAGTACACTAATTCGATAATTTTGAATAGATGTCATTTAAAAACAATCGTTCGAATGGAATTTCGGTAAACGAAAAGCTACTTCGTTTGGTACCAAGAATCTCTCAATGTATTCCGCATACGATTATTCTAGGACCCTATATGTAAATGATGTTTATATTAATATATAAATTAATATTCACACGGTTATATTATTGATATCTACAAAATATTATTTTACACGTGTATATATATATATATATATGTTTTAATTAATAGTTTCGACAATATCATCTCGTCGAGAGATCAAACGCAGCTCTACGTTCACGAGGAAGTTTATTTCGGACACGCAAGTTTCGACGTTGCTCGATCACGAATGAAACTCTCCACGGATCGCCAGACGCCGCGGCGATCATCCATAAATTACTTCAGCCCTCATCCAATCCCACTGCCGTATTATCTGCCAACGACTTGTTCCATCTTATTAAGTAACAAAGACTCTGTGATGTTACTACCGTTCTCCTTACTCCGTGATCACGAAGATACCGAGAACCCGATTGATGCGTTAATGCTCGCCGTTGCCGTACGCCGCGAACTGCATTCGTCGTTCCAGTCGAATTAAATCCACGTAAGATCAATTAAATTCAATTGGCCGTAGGTGCGATGAATTCTTGGACGAGTTGCAGCTCGCGTGGAATTGTTCGTACGGTAGAAGCCGCGATCGGCGCGAGCGATAACGGTTGCGGCGGATAATTACCGACCTTACATATCGCCGGCGAATACAATATGAAAGAGTTCCGCGTTGAAAATTATTACCGCGGTGGATATTATTTCATAATTCCGCGGCACAGCTTTCTCACGCTTTACCGCCAACGAAGTATCGCGCGCTCATCCAGCGTACTTCAATCGATAAAGTGTATCTAAATGGCAGCCTCTTGAGACGGGTATCTTGAATTCTCTTCTATTGAAAAATATTAAGAAAGATCGTCTCTCGATAGATTCTCGTTCAATTATTATCATTCCCAAAGCAAACCGTATGCACGCTCGCGTTTCGTAACTCCTCCTCGTCTGGCTGGCTCGCTCTGCGGATTATCT